CCGGTAAATTACCGGTAAAATTACCAAAAAAGCCGTTACCGGTAAGTGACAATCGGTAGTCACACACTGCTCTAGCTACAAAAAAAATACGAAAAATCTCCTGTCCCCCCACCTTTAAAGTTCCCGAGTAGAGTAAGAAGTTGCATGCTCATGTCCACTCGCCGCTGAACATCAAAACTGGTCGAAACGGTGAGGTATCCGCCGTCCAAGTTTTTCTGTCTTTCCCAACTTTAACAATCCATTTTCAATAGTGATATGAGTTGTCCCTAAACTGATTGACAATTCACGGGTAGATTGGTAAGGGTCCCATTCTACTAGATCTCTCAGCTTGTCTGAATCTTGAAGAACTGGTTGCCCGGGACAAGTTTTATTTTTCGTTGAAAAGTTTTTGTTTTTGAACTTGCCGACCCAAGTTGCAACGGTGTTTCTATGGGGACATTATCTTTGTAAACTTCCACCAGGCGGTGATGAATATCGAATACTTTCCGGTTAGAAATAAATGTAAACAATATACAGTAATTTCACCGAGGAAAACAAAAGTGCACAAAGACTTAGTTGCCAACCTAATATAGTTTTAATGTTTTAAAATGTTTTAAAAATGTTCAAATATTAAAAAAATAAATTTATTGAAAAATAATCATAACACAGTGGTACTTCGAAAAGCACTGCTTATGTTAGCAGTTGCAGGAATCCGTCGATTATAGAAAAACATTTTCGATTTCAGAAAATTCATATATGTGGAATTCTGTGCCAGAATAACTATGGCACATGGAATTGGTGCTGCTGTGAACATTGCGTTTCCAAACAATGTTATGGCTGAAAACTAGACAAAGATACCGTAGGTCTTAGAGTCTATAATTTTAAAACTAAACTCTCGAGTTGTAGCTTGCAAGAACTCACTTATTGTGTTTTTTTCCGGTGGTAAAAAAGTGTTTCTGAGTACAATAGCAGGAGCGATTGCTAGGAAGGAAAATCTAACACAATTCTGAAATATGAATCTTTTTTTTGTGTATACCGTAAACACTCTAATAGAAGACCATCCTAACCGTCAACTTCGAGCCCATATATCTTTGTTCCTGTAACCAGCTATCAAAATATTTTTGATATTATGATAAACATTTTGTCAGTTGACCAATTTTGGATACCGAGGTATGTATAGGGTCCTATAGGCTTCTATTATACCACTTCCTAATATCTTCTACAGGAATTGAGATATATGGACTACGGTTTGGGTGTCCATCTATTAGAATGTTCACGATAATTTTTTAAAGACCTGAACTATAGTATGTTTCAGAACCTTTATATGATTTTTAGTTTTGTTCACATTCCAAGCATAGCTCTGCATTTTAATTTCGTGAATTATAATTGCATAGACAATCAAATATAAAACTGCTCCACTTAACAAAGATACTAAAACTACAAAAACACCTTTTGTAGTCTGACACGTGTTCACGAAAACAAAGAATCCGTCGTGGTCAGATAGTGATAAACAGTTAGGATAGTATGTTTTCAAATGATTCCGCATAGCTTCTTCTGATACATAAAATGGAAGAGTTCGAGATAAAAGTGGGAAAAATACAAAGGCAAAAATAATGAAAAAGATTATTGAGTATGTAGAGTCGCGGAACTGAAAAAATAAATACTTTTGAATGAAAAAATAGGTTTAAAAATAATTTAGGATTCCGCTACTGGATCTAAGCTCCGCCCACCCTAGAGCTTACATCAAAGATGTTGTTCTTCCTTGCCAACGTCCTCAATCGAATCAACATAATCACGTACATCATGATAATCGACACAGAAAACAAAAATATCCAGGTCATCAAAATCATAAATGTAGAAATGATTCCACGAAGAATACCAATTGATTGAATCCCAGGAAGCGGAAGTAAAGGGATAGGATTCATTATTAGGCCCCAATACAACTGAGCCAAAAACAAAGAGAACTAGAAAAAACGTTTAGTAGTCGCAAAGGTGAAATTTCACTTACATTATGCGCAAAAGACACAATTCTGTAAGTCGTGCTTTCATTTTTCGAGCTCCGAAGAGTTACATAAAACATTACGGCATTCACAATAGCTGATACCATATTTACGAATGACATAACAATAATCTGTGTCATCGGCTCTAAATGGTCCACTATGTAGAAACTACGCGAATCTACGCTTAGGAATGTGGAGCACATCTAGACGGTAAAATAGTTATAACGAATAGAATCAAGTATTTCAGCGATATTTATACTTTAGTCTATTCAGATTTTATTTTCAGATTTATCAAACTTGTCCAGGTGAAACTAGATACATTGTTTTGCAGAAAAAAAATAAATGTTTCATGAGTAATCGGAAAAAAGAACAGCTGAATTCCGAAAAATGAGATAATAAAGCTAGATTTGTTAAACAGTAGTTCAAACGTCTGACTGGTGCGTCTACGGCGCGAGGTCGTCGCTCCGCTCCTCATATTTTTGGCACTATTTCAAATAATTATTAAAATCTCTAATAGTAAGATTTTTTTTCTCATTGTATCCTGACCCTGATCCTGACGGTCCAAGATGTTCCCCAGAACATCCTCAAGATCTAGAGGACTCTTCTACTAATTCAAGTTTATGTGGCTCCAATATTTTGGTTTTTTCTCCGTTATAAACGATTCCTGATCAACAAGATACAGTTTATAAAGAAATCCATGAAAAAACAAAAGAAACTCCCACATTGAAATGCATTATGCAAATTTTTATGCGTTTTCAGCCTTCTCCCCTCCAGAAGAATATAAAAACAGTTCGAAATTTCACAAAAAATATCGGAAACGTCCATTGTCTCCGCCCCTTTTTCCCTTAAATACCGTAGCGATCGCGCACCCCCATTTTTGACATTTTGTAGAAATTTTCTTTGAAAGCTCCTAACTAGGTTCATTTCAGTCCGTTTTGCCAAATCTTTTTTTGATCGATAGCAAATCTCTCTGGCTACGCGGTCACTAAAAATCGTCAGAAGTTGTACTGTTTGAACCGAGATATGATAGCGAACGTACAAGTGGATACCATTTTTTTCGGGTTTTCCTGTTTTTTCTGCCGAACTAGGGCCTAAATCAAAAATCCGGCTTTCCCATCCGATGCGTAATTTTAATAGCTACAATTAAAGAAAAGAAAACTGGATTTGCTTGAAAATTAAAAGAGTTAATAGGTTTTGAGTGAAAAATTAATGAACTGTTTCGGTCTGTTTGACCTGAGCGACCGGAGCGAGCGAAGGGAGAACAGACTAAAATATGAATATATTGATTCCACTGAGCCAGGGCCGAAGGCCCTGCATCTGATTCCACCTAATTGCGCGGCGTAGCCGCGCCTAGCGGAGTCTGCCGTAGGCCGAGGACTCTAGTCCTAGACACTTTAATAATATATTGTGTAAAGACTTTGAAGATTAACAGTAAAAAACTAGAAGAACGGTATGATCAAAAACCGTGTGAGCTGTAAATCAGACGTTCTCCCGGAAGTTAATTGTTTTTCATTGAAAATGAAAACCGGTAGAAAATTGAAAGTGTGTGAACGAACAAGCTAACTTGCAAAACTCATTCTTGAAGTTAAAATGGATCTCTGTAAATTATCAAACAAAACTAAAAAAATTGAAAATGGTAATACATTTCTGTTTTCGAGATTCCATATTGAAATTTGAATTAGTTCCACAACTGGATGTGTATAGAACTTTCTGACAAGCTTCCCAAACTGGCCTGAAAAATAAAAATAAAAATTCAAAATTATTTGGCTGCTTATCTGTTGGAAATCAAAACCATAAAAGATTCATACATATATATATATATATATATATATATAGCAATGTAAAACCCATAATTCTTTCATAACCGTTTGAACCCGCAGACTCGACAAATCAAAGGGCACAAAAAAAGCCGGACTGGGGACATCCGGAAGACCTTTAAACGGACCCTTGGCAAATGGAATCCCAAGATAATAATCAGCTATCTTGTCGCCCTACACAATTAAAAGAAAATCTTATTTTCAAGCCATCAGATCTCACATGTCTGTAAATATTTCCTCTGATGGGTCCACTTGTAGAATTGAAAACTTTCTTGTTATTTTCAGGTTTCAAAAAAAAACACGAGAATAAATTCAAAAATGTGTGTGTATACAGTACTTTTTGGTTTTATTACAAGTGCTAATATGTATTAAAGGCTTTATTCAAGTGATAATCTTAAAAATTAGCTCATGGTTACGATTGATGTCCCAGCAGCTCTTGGTGGTTGGTCGATTTTCCCAGTCCTCAAAAGTCGAAAGCAATCTTCTCGAATGGATCTCAAAAAGTTAATTTCTAGAATTCAAACGGCATGAAGATTCTCACTTGTTGAAAACCAAGAGCATGCACGGATTGACATAGCAATGCACAAGCCACATAAAATTCAGAATCGCTTGATTTGTTATATCGTTCATATCGATGAACTGGAACGTTGTGAAAAGAGCTGGATGCCATACGAATATCATCACAGATATATATCCAGTTACTAACGATGATTGGAACAGAATCGCAATTTCATTCCTCCTGGAGGCAACACTACTTTTCAAGTTTTTTGCCTGAAAACATCTTTTAATTAAAAAAAAAAGAAAAGTCTGGGCTCACCACGAAAATAAGGTATGCAATGGTTAAGTAGGAAAGAAAGGAAATAATTATACAAGGGAAGCTTAACGAAAGTTCCATAGTATCAAATAAATGACAAAATGGAACATCGAAGTCGTATGCCCATAATGGCGGGTACATCATCATATTTCTAAATACAACAGAATAAATGAGAAGAATGAATATCCACGATAATAATAAAATGAGTAAATATCTGATAATTCTGTCGCTTTTACGAATTGAAATAATGTTGGAGAATGTTAGTACTCGTGATACAGCTAGCAAAGTTACCGTTGACAAATCACAGATCCATAGCGTGTTCATGATTCCACCGATTATCTGAAACAAAATTTATAAGGAAAATTAGATGATGTAGAAATGTTTACCCTAACTACGGTTTCAAAAGTTCTCAACAAATTAGGAAACATTAGACAAGGAAAAGTTATTAGATGCCCAAGTCCTTGCCCAAGTAGGCAGAAGTTGATGATATTCATCAATAGGAATGCCATGTTTGGTGATTGAGCATTTTTCATTTTGAGAGTCTGAAATATTGAAACTGCATTATGTTTATGAAAATTAGTTTAATTACCGTAATGATGAGTGCTAGGATCGGCGCATTGAAAATCGAGAAAACAAAAACAATGATTCCGAAATAGAATAACTCCATATCCGGAGTTAATTCAAACAACGACTTGGAGATAGTGAGGTTTGATGTGACACTCATCCTAGACACTGTAATGATAGGCTTTGTCAGGAGCTTGAAGATCAACCGTAAAAACAAGAAAAAACAGGGTTGATTGAAAACCTTGTTAGATGTCAGGCGTTCTCCTCTGAAGTCAGTTGTTTTTTTTGTAAATGAAAATACGTCGTTTGTAAAGAAAGACTAATTAGTAAAAATCATTCTTGGAATTTGAACATGGATCTCTGAGAATCAACAAACAAAAACTAGAAAAAATTGAAAATGTTAATACTTTTACTGTTTTGGAGATGCTTCATTTATTTTAATATTGAACACACAACGCGATGATTGAAGAACTTTTCGGCAAGCTTCTCGAATTGGTCTGAAAAATTGAAATAAAATTCTTAAAAATTATTTGGCGGCTTACCTATTGAAAATCAAAATCATAACAGGATTCATATAGCAATGTAGAATCCATAATCCGTTCATAACCGTTCGAACTCGCAGGCTGAACAAATCAAAGGGCATGATGAAACCAAAAATTTGATGATGCCAGACAAGTATCATTAGTGTCAGGTAACTGGTTATAAATGTGGATTGAAATAACAACCGAATTTCGCTAGCTCGATTTTGATTGCTTCTCAATTTCTTTTGCATGAAAATTAGATAAGTGATAACCAAATATGACAGATACGAAATATCCAAAGAAGGAAATGATATAGCTAACTCGAAAATGGCAAACAACTCTGATCTCGGAACGTTATCGTCATAATCCCATCCGGGTTTCAGAAATATTATATTTCGAGTTATGCACCTGGAGATGCATACAAACAATGTCCATAATGCGAGACATACTGTTATGAATTTTACAGATTTCGAAAGTTTTTTGGGTTGCATTTGACCAGAAAATATCAATGCACGGCAAACCGAAAGTATACTCATCGCGGGAAGTTCTCCGATTCAACTTGTATTCATCATAGGTCCCGCACTCTTAAAATTCAATTTTTGAGTACATTTCACATATTAGAAATGGAAACCTGAATGACAAGCAACAAATTATTGTATAGTTCTGGAAACACAAGAAAAAGTGAGCTAACAAAATGGCCAACTCCTTGTAAAAATTGGTAGATCATAACGAAATTCATGAGTTTGAATGTGGAATTCGCTGATTGACGATCTCTGTTCCAGATTCCCTAAAATTCAAATTAACTTTTAAAAGAAACAAAAATTCCTGCCTTCATCGAAACTATAAACATTGGGGGAATAGGTAGAGAAATCACAAAAAATACTATTCCAATATAAGTTATCCGGGAGTCTTCATTCAAGGAAAACATGGAGAATTTCGTTTGATACTGCGTCTTTTATCACTTTATAAACAGGAACTCGACCGAAAAAAACCCTCCAATTAACAATATCTAATAACATACTTGATTTATTTTCGTGGGCATGGCAGACAACTTGTCGTTGGTGGTCGGCTTCAATACGGAAATTGATAAGATTCCAACTAAACCGCGAGCTCCGAGAAACTGACATCAGAGATGTGCGTATAATTTTTATTTTACGAAATCTAATATTTCAGAAACCACAAGCTCGTAGATATCTCAAACCGTCGCCAGACGCAAAATCAACAACTACAGACCGTCTGTTTACAACAAATGTTGATCAACTAGTCTCTCAACTAACTATGAATATTCTTGCCCTTCTCCTCTTCGTTCTTCTTGCTATCACAGCTCCAATTGTCGAGGCTGGAAAACGCTGCCACACGAGCGAGCAGTGCGACTACGAGTCAGCCTGCTACGAAGGACACTGCTACACCATCGATGAGATGTTCGAAAAGTTCGATTTAAAGAAATAAGACCCCTTCTTCTATCTGATTATGTGTTTCGAAATAAATGAGCATTCCCAATGACTGAAAATCACAAAGAATACGGAACAAACGATTCAAGATTTATTCTAAATAACAGTTTCAATAAGAAATGGTGAGATCAATAACTAATTTTCTTCATATTTTCATTCTGAACCATCAGAAGCACTTTAAATGATCCAGTTTCTCGTAGATCATCCCACCAAAGGAACTGTCTGATTTCAGTTCCGGGAATTGGCTCCTGGACCCGGGCTCCGGGACCCAGGCACCAGGACCCGGGCTCGACGACCCGGATCCCTCCCCTTCTCGGAGCCCCGAGAAGGAGAGAACTGATTCTTCTCTTCATTCCTCTCTTCCTTTATAGTGTTCCTTAGGCTGGCCAAAACGGCGTTTTCTGGCGCCACACGCCGCTTTTAATTTTTGCACTGGCCGCCAGTGCCAGTTTTTAAAGCGGCGTGAATCGCCAGCAAAAGTTTTCACAGGCATTAAACGTCGGGTTTTTAAAAGACGAATTTTTCAATAGAAAATACTTCATAGAGAAAAGATTCAAAAAGAAAAAAAAACAACAGATGATCGATCCGAAACAGTCAAATGGAATGAAATTAATATTTTCAGTCCTTCGAAATATTTTATTACTTCTGGAATTCTGTTTGAAATTCTGAAAATCTGGTTCTGAAGTTTTTGAAAAATGTTTTCCGAAATTTCTGAATTTTAAAAAGTCTATGGCTTGTGTGATTTTGAAAATTTATGGTTTTCATGAAACTCTACACTTTCCTGAACATTTCCGAACTTCGAATTTTCAGGATTCAAGAATTTTTGAATTTCCTGGAAATTTCAGTATTTTCATCGTTTTTCAAAAACTATTTTTGGAGTTTCTGTACTGTCATGCTATACATTTTTGAACGATCAAAAATGTTTTGATTCCTAAATTTTTGAAATTTAAATGTCAAGATCACTAAACTTCGGAGTTTTTCGAAACCTGAATTGTGAAGTTCCAAAAATCGAAGTTTACAACTTTAAATTCTAAAAGCCTAAACAAATACTTTTGAACTAAACCTCGATCTAGACATAATCACAATAACTATTAATGGAAGACTAGTGGTAACTTCTCAAATACCAAATTCGTTCCAATATTTTATAATTCCCATTCTCTCCCTTTAAAATCAATTATCTGATTTCTTGTGAAACATATGACCATACTGTCAACTGCCAAAATGTTTTCTTGACATTTGGAGAATTTTATCAGTTGACAGTTTTCTGCTATCTTTCATAAGAACTGAGATGATTAAGATTGAAGCTACAGTGAGGGGATATTAGTGAATCAAAAGGCAAATTCTATCCTCAAAAATATAGCGGCGTTTGATGCCGGTTTAAATATTAAAGAGGCAAATATTGCCTACTTAAAAATTTCGCTGACTTTTAATGCAAATCACGTGAAATTGAAAGGCCCATAGCTCTGGCACTGGCGGCCAGCAACAACCCTAGTGTTCCTCCTGAGGTCAATGGGCCATGAAGGGTCATCGATGGTCATGGGTTACTTTAATAATCCACGTATCTTTGTTCGTTTTATAATTTAAAACCTTTTTTCTATTTTGCCACGTGGATTTTTTCATCCAGAAATAATTTTTTCGTCACGTTTAAATAAGACTTGAATACCCACTTTTCACATATGTGGTTGATTTAAAAAAAACAAAGAATATTGGTTATCAACTGTTTATTAAACATTGAAAGTCAAATAAATTATTTTTAACAAAGCTCAAGAGGAATGAAATTAAACTTCGAAGTTTCAGAAGTCTTCAGACACGTAACAGAAAAAAGTCATCAGAAAAAAAAAATCAAAAGCTTA